AAAGCTGGTTACAGAAATAGTGAAAACTTTCACAGAAGCTTGCCATTGATGTTGCTGTTCTCGAAAAGATACAGATAGAGATGGACCTCTCAGGAAGATAAATCTAAATAAGGAGAGTGGAAAGAAAGATGCAGTAACACCCACTCTCTCAATATTTCCTTAAAAAACCCAAATCACCAAATGCTCATTAGTTAGAAAATGTTGTATTTCTTCAAGTTTAGCATCACTTAGAGTAGTCTGAGAGGTACTTTCCAAGGTGAGACAGAAAGTTGTGACAGGGTTGCTTTCATGCAGGTGTTACAGAGGGAGCCTATGCCAAGTGCAGACCACCCTCACCTCAGCAGGTCTCCTACCAAGACAGAAGTCTCCAGCATGGTGCTTCAATTTGCAGGAGTTTGAACAAAGGGAAAGTTTTAGACCTGGGGACTGATAACAGAAACTGCCAGAGCTCTGATACAGGCAAGCATTGCTGCCTGATTCACAGCATGTCCTTGGAAGTCTACCTACACAACTTGTGAAGGATAAGTCTTTCTTCTAAACTGTCAAAAAAGGCCAAGGACAGTCTGGGCATTCTCCTAAGTAATTCTGTGCTCTTGATGCAAAATAAACCCTCACCAATTAAAAAAAAAAAAAAAAAAAGTCAGTGTCCTAACTGGATCCAAGTGTGTGAAATTTAATTTCCCTGAGGGCTGAGAGTGAGGATTGGGTAAGAAAACTGGGACACGAATGGATTGGTTCATATGAAAACCTGAAATAGCCCTGGGCAGAAATAGGGAAGGATTGTGAAATACTGTATAAGAAGAATCCATCTTCATATGCAGGGAGTAACTCAAGATGGGAGATGTAGCAAGACAGACACTCCAAAAAGTTCTACAAAGTTATATACAAGGTTTTAAGTGATTTTTTCCCATTCTGTGGTGGGAATATAGGATGTGGCAATCCAATGTCATGGTGTTATGCAAATATTTGTACTAGATGACTTGGACAGAACTAATTAAAAGTTCAAATGCTTTGAACATACGAGATAGACAACACTGCTGATATCGCTGATATCAGAGATATCAGACAGCTGATGCTTGTATGATCAAAGTTCTGCATCTTCCCATTCAGCTCCGATATTCAGTTGAGGTTGTCTTAGCCTGGTACACAATAACTTTTGGTAGATGCCATGCAGACAGCATTAAGGCTGACAGATGTAGGAATGCCAGCTCCCAATCAATCCTGCTGCAAGATGGCAATGCACTGGAAGGAAAGTAGGCTGCTTGGGTTAAAGTATCAGAGCTAACCAACCAGTGCTTCCTCTCCTCACAATCGTAAATCCTAACACCTCAACCTGTTCTCCTAAAACTTTTTGGTGACCACCAGGAACAATGGTACTGCATTAATGTGCCTGAGCTCTTGGGGGAGAAACGCCTTTAGCAGACCCTCATCTTGGATCCTCCTTTCCTGGATTTTTTTTTTTTCCTGAGCAGTGGGAAAAAAACTTTTTTTTTCTTTTATTAAAAAAAAATCTTTCTTTTCAAAAACCAAGCAATTAAAAAAGATTTTGTACACCAAAGTCTTTAAAGGATAGCTCACTGTTGCTAGGTACCAACCTGAAGATATAGTAACTTGAAGTAAACCAAAGGTTGTACAATCTGTGCAGGGCTGAATGCACCAAGGTCTACAGCCTCAGTGGAGAGAGCTACATAGAAGGACACCCGCTCCCTCCTCAGACTTTAAAATTGCTATTTATTTCAGCAGAGAGACCTCATATTGTGTCTTCTCGGTAAACAGGCTGATTCAAACTTAGGCTTCTTCCCGAAGCCTAAGTCTGGCAAATTGTATTATTGAGCTTCATGAGACCATGTTTGAGGCATGGTCTCACTGGTTTCTTGGGAGAACCTGAAGCCTGTTGATGAGCTAAAGTATTCATAGGGGAATTTCCTTGTGGAAACAATAGGTCCTCCCTAGTCTGGATTACAACTGGGCTCTTTGAAATGATATGATACTAGGTTTTAAAATCAACTTTGAGAGCTTTTTAAAGCATTATTTTAGCTTCAAAATTTATAATTCTAGGATTACTCAATTCAAACCATCTATTAGATAAGCTGCTTGTCTGTAGGATTGCTTCACTAAGTCAGCTTTTGCCCAAAACATAGATCAGTTCTCATTCTTTGGCTTCTTCAAGCACAAAAGCATTTGAGAGAAACCCACAATTGTCTTTCCAAAGCAAAGGGCAGGGATCCAGAAACAGTAGCAAGACACTTTTACAGTCACACCAAGTTTCTTTGGAGGAATGAATAGGTATCTGTCAGTAGGTATTTTACATGTCAAGGCACAAACCAGGTTGGGGAACCTAACAGAAGAATTATGGAAAATGATCCCTTCAAGCTACAAGTCTTTACCTGATATCATTTAAGGAACTATTTTTTAAAGTACTCTTTCCAATTCGTACTCTACTGCCCAGGAAGAAGAAAACAGCAAGGTACAAGATGGGGTGCTATTGACTCCAAAAGGAGAAGGAAGAGTACACTTGCTCCAAAGCAGAGACTGCTCTATCAGAATAGGTCTCCCTCACACCAGCAAGTCAGAGTGACTCCAGAGCTACTGGTTTGAATATCACCCTTTCAATCTCACAAAGAAAGATGACTCTGGTACCTGGCCCACAGATGAAAGGTTCATTTTAGGCTTCTGGCCCTTAGAATACATGTAATACGAGTCAGAAACCTAATGACTTTCATGTCTCAACCTGTTACATGCTGGAGCCTGCAACCGATGCCTTGACTCATCCCTGGAGCAGTGCTCTTTCAGGCAAGATAATCAAGACCTTATTTTTCATAGACAATTTTTCATATAACATTAAGTCTCAGGAGGTTTCAACTGCCTCAAAAATATCTATGAGACCTTCCTTAGTTTTGATATCATTCACAGATATTGGCAGAAAAAGAAACATATAAGCAATGTTGACAAAAACCTTGTGCTAAAGTTGAGTAATGAAGTTATAGTCTAGCCAGGTATGAAACTGACCAGGTCAGGCTTCAAGAAGCAATTTGTATTAATGTCCAGATATTACTGGATAATTTTTACTTAGCACTCACTCTATATAAATATGTACAGATACATATACACACATATATACATCCCAACCCTCCACTGGAAAAAAACCTCATGGCAAAATCTCAGACAAAACCCAAACAACTATATCATGATTACCGGCATAATGCTTCATGCCATTGTCTTGACATTCAAACTAGTATAATAATTACTCTTTTGAAGCTGCTCATGTTAAAAAAATCTCTCAAGTTCTGGAAGTCGCTGGGAATTCCAGGTTCTAACAGCTATGCTGGAAATATTCACTCATCAAGAGGTTCAAAAGACACTGTCAGAACTGAAACACAAACACATGTCAGAACGACTTGAAACAGGATGACTATAACTCAGAGTTTGGGTTTTCTTTAAATTATGTTTGAAGAGCTTTAAAAATGTTTAATTTATTAAACTGGCTTTGATACTACAGGCATAGCTTTCACTTTCAAGTGCTACAATGGCTCAATTGAGCATAGAATACATTAAGCTTAAATTCCACTGCCACCAGACACATTTTTGAATGACATTTTAGTGTTTCTTCACTTGAAGTAATATACTCTCTCTGTGAATTTGACATGAAAACAGAAACACCAGCCTCTTATTCTGCATATACAACAGTGTCAGACACCATCACTGCTCCAACTACCAAAAAAACCCACAGAGAATCACAACTACTAGGAGCTGCACACAAGAAGCTTCTAAAAAAAACCCCAGAAGAACAGATTTGATTTTTGAAGAACAGTTCAAGTTTTCCCAGACATTACTTCAATCTCTCCTGGCAGACCCAGGCTTTGCATGGCTTCTTTTGCTCCCCTCTGCCAGGCCTTCCTTGAGGAGGCTGTGGCAAGAAAGGCCATGTGCCTCGCTCTGTGTACAGCTCTCTTCCTCCAGCCCTGTCGGGAGCACTACTTCAGCCCACCTAACACTATCAGCTGATGGTGCAGAGGCAGCAGCATCGAGTGAAACCCAGGCTTTGAATGAAGTCACATCCCATGAAGTGGGCTTTGTGCCCTTTGAAAAGGCAAGTCAGAGCTGTGGGATCAAGAAACTGAAAATCTCCCCCCTCAGACTGGAGAGAACACAATGGGCACGCTGCCTACCCTCTAGAGCAGGATTGGGTGGCGAAGGGCAAGGTATAGATTGGTACTGTGGGCACAATGACTTCCTGCTGTCTCATAGCCAACACTTAGAGTTACAGTACCACTGCACTGCTTGTCTGCCAGCACCACCAGGTAATGCCCACACACTGCTAAATGCACTCTAGATTTCTTAAATGCACTCTTGTTTTAGCTACTCTACAGGCACGTTGGCTCACACATTCAGCAGTTCTCTGACTGCTTAATACCAGTGAGCTACCAGAGTCACAAATACTTCATTCAAAAGGTACATGAGAGTTAAGAGGCTAATTATTTTAAAAATCCTAAGATTCTATAAAAAGTATTCAGTTAATACTGTTCTATAGTTTATTTCATTCAACTTTGCCTCAAGTGACACATGTGAGATGGTGCGTTGACAGCACAGGAGAGCAGTTACTGTTCCAAAAGAAACAAAACAAATACTCCAACACCCCCACCTTTGGGATTAAATGCAGTATCACTACAGTTTTTGAATGTAACAAACCACAGCATGGGTGCCCTGGCATAAACCCAGAATCCTACGTAGTAGAAAGTATGCGCTCTTTTCTCTCAGCTTTGTTTTAGTACACACGCATCAGGATTTGCAGAAGCGCCATTTGTCAGAAACACAGTGGAGCAGGGAAAGAAAAGTAAGTCTCTAACTGCCTACTAACAAAGAAAGCTAATTTAATTTTGAAACAAAAGGAGCTAAATTCATCAGTCATTGTCATTCTGAGACAGCCCCAGGACATCCAAGCACGAAAAGGAAGAAAAGGAGTTTGCCAAAGACATGCAGAAGAAAGTTTTTAAAGTTACCTGGAATCGGGATATTTTGTAAGCGTGGCCAAGCTGCTGGTATACATGTGCCCACCCACATCAATGTGAACTGGTGCGTTGGACTTTGTGAGCTGTGCTGGAGTGGGGATGCCTTGATTGTTCAATGGAGATGCAGGGGATCTAGTGATCAGAGGTCTTGACATATTGGGCCGACTGTCCTGTGAAAAGATAGACCTGGGTTAATGATCTTAAAAACCCTACAGAAACCCCCAGTCTTGACTCAATAGGACTGTCTCATAGCCTCAGATTATAACTTTTATCTTAGTAAAGCACAGACAAATATTTGGCAGTTTTTCAAACGAATCCAGCTCCGAGAGTTTGAAATTGCTACATTTTAAATAAGTGGGGCAAAACGCACTGATAAAATCCACAAAGAAGAAATCACATCCAAAACCAAGTTTTTCCTGAACACTATTTACGACAGAAAATCCATACCAACAAAAAGGGTCATTCTCATTTTTAAGAGCTGATGAAAGCACTGACAGAAATCGATACAGACAAAAAGACTGAGAACAATATTTTCCCTAACTGAGACGACCCCAGGTAGAGTTGCTGTTCCTTCCCAAGCCCTCCGTCACTGCCGTACCACCAGAACAGGAATACAAACCCTCAACTCCTCCATCCTGCACACTCTTCTCTTGAACTCCCAATTCACATAGCACAGGAACAGAAGCAGAAACACCTGGACTAGTCAGCTGCTCATGGGCTGCAGACCACTGGACATCGACAGCCTTTGAGAAAGACATTTTCCATTTAAAAGTTGCACGTATGGCGCCAGCTGCCCCCGCGTGCCGCGCACAGGCTGCAGGTCGGAGCGGCTCCGCGGGGCCGGCGGGCGGGGAGCGCGGAGCGGGGCCGGCGGGCGGGGAGCGCGGAGCGGGGCCGGCGCTCCGCGGGCGGAACCAGCGAGCGGCGGCCGCGGGAGCGCCGCAGCAGCGCAGCGAGCGGCGGCCGCCTGCGCGCCGCGGGCGGGGCAGGGCAGGGCAGGGCAGGGCAGGGCGGTGAGCTGGAGCCAGGAAGGCAGGCGGCAGGCAAAGTTGGGGATTAAAATAGAAATGCGTTCAAGAGCGGTTTTGGGACAGCCCCGCTTTCGACTGAGGGACAGCTCCACACGGGGTGGAATCTTATAGGGATGCCCTGAGAACTAAAAGCCCTTGCAAATGACCGAGTTTTACATTTAAAAGGTAAGCAAAGCAGCGAGAAGTCAGATACACTTCATCACAAAACTCCCTTTGTTCTTTCAACACCGTCTTTCAGCTGCACAAAGTAATGGATTCCTTGTAAACATCTCCTGGGAGTCAGGCAGCAAACCTCAGCAAAGCGGAGCGCGGCCAGCACAGAGAGTTACGGGGCGCTCGGACCAGCAAAGTCCGCCGCCGCCAAAACCAGCGTTTCTCCATTTTTCATGGCTGTTAAAGGACTCAAATCATAAAGGCAACATGAGCCAGGTAATCGTCTGGCTGAAATGATTTACAGGCCAACGTTGCACAATAAATCAGAGTAATATGTAACAAAAGACATCTATAAACCACAAGGTACTTAACAATTTTTCCTTCATACACAAAAGCAAGCTTCGGTCTAATTCTGATAAAAACTAAGGAAATTAAGAAAAACATCTAGTTTAGATGTTGGGGGTGGGGGGGTGGGGAGGGAAAGGTTGGGTTTCTTCTCTTTCTTTATAAGCAGAAGTTAATATAAATCTGCAGAAATACCAGGCTTAATCACTACAATTGCTGGAGGAGGTGCCTGCAGCGCAAAGAAGACAAGTCCAGACAAAATAAGGTACACACGCTATGCAAAACTAATGTCTGCTACAAATGCTATGTGGTACAACCACCACCCAAGATGTTACTGATCTGCAGAGCGGTATTTAGCAAAATAATGAAGAAAAAATTAAAAACAACCACTACAGAGGTGAAAGTAAGACGTCAAGGATTGATACAAACTATGGGTGGGGGGAGCATGGGTTGGACGATTAGCAGGAGGAAAGCAGTAGGTCTGATGAACACATTTCAGTGCTCAAAAGCAGACAGTTTGGCAAAAATAAAGATAAAATTATCAATGAAAGTTGAGACTAAAATGAAAAATAAATTCTGTAACTTGTACAAGACGGACACCAGCATGTCCGTTCACAGGATCCTCTCTGGCAGAAAAAACATAGCTCTCTTGCAATTTAGCACAGTGCAGCACCACCGAGTCTGTCACAGTTTTTCAATTGGACATTCTCCTGTATGCCCTGCCTGGGGCTGCTTCAGAGAAAATGAACAGATTTGCAGGGTTAATATTGTAGTTAGGCAGGAACCTCATTCAGCATAGCTGCGATAGTACTGGCTGCACAAAATAGTAGAAGAATGTGTGGTATAAACACTGCCAGGATGGGAGATAGGTTGGAGGACCGTGGGCATTTTAAAAGGCAAAAGAACCCACAAAGCATAAGAAAAGGGAACCAGTTTCCAAACCCAATTCATAACCAAGCTGCCATTTACACAGTTTATCTACTAAAACTCCCAAGAAATAAAAATGCTTTATAGTAAAACCTTTTTTATTTCACCCTCCTCCTTTTCAAGATTTCCTCTTCAAGTTACCTGTGTTTATGTGTCTCATGAAACAAAGTCCTTCTTCTCAGTGGCTGATATTAAGCACAATAATGCCAACCTTGCTCAGCCCACAAAGCACATTTCCCTGCATAAAAACAGTTCAGTAGCATTTTGGACGCACTCTGAAATTAGAAAATTGTATTTCTACTGCAGTTGCCTCAGCAAAACTAAAGCAAAAATGTGATTCAGAGAAGCAGGTTGTTAAAAAAATCCCCCCCTTTTTTTTTAATGTGGCACAACTCAATTGCACTGTCAGAGCACAGAAGATCACCATTCAGTGGGTACGGCCTTTAACAGATCAGAGTTATATATAACTGCATTAGTTAAATCACTGTATTGTTCAGCTATGAAAAGGATAACACTGGGGCAAACAGTCTCTGAAGAAATACATGGGTTGCACTGGATTATGGCAAACATGGAAGTGAACAAGCTTTGGTAAAAAGTAATTAAAACAAGCCACTGCTGGTGAGCTAAGCTTCCACCACCTAATGTGATCACAAACACAATTCCTTAGCAAGAATTACAGGTGGAGAGAAAGAAACTAAACTCAACAGGCTCTAGCAAGCTATCTGGAACAGCTGACAATAAAATGAATCAAAAGGCTCTTCAGAAGCCTTTCTTGGTGTCAGGCAGGTGAGACACGAACCCAGGAACAGTTCAGAGCTCAGCCATGGTTGTTCCCACACAGGAGATCCCAGAGGCTGTTGTCTGCCTTGGGAACTGCATCAGCTTTGCTTATGAGTGGGGCACAAAGCATGGCAACCACCTGCACTGGCTGGATGGGCAGTGACCCTCCTGACCTGTCAACAGTCTGACCCCTCATAGCTTTCCTCCTCAAACATTTTATTATTTACCTAAAAAAAAAATTAAGAACAGAAAATACAGTTTTATAACAGTTCCATGAACTAAAATATTTCAAATACCCTGTAAAGCATTTATCATTATTAATATCCAGATGATTCCTCCCTGCCTCCAAAAACTTTTCATGAAAATTAGTTCCCGCTTTCACTCAGAATGAGTGTATGACTGAAATTATGTTATCAAAAGTGCCAAAATCTATGTGCTAGGCAGGCTAAATGCAATCAGGTTGTCTAAAACTTTTCAGTTTTGAATTAGCACACAAAAGCACTGCTCTTAGAGCAGTTTGGGGCTCCTCCACTTCCTTGTCGATATTTGAAGGAGTCTTTCCACAACAAGCGGCTCATAGGCACAAGTTTTTAGAGTATATCTGAACCTGCTTCACATTTTCTGCTCTAGGCAAGCCCTCCTGTAGGCTCAACAAAAGCAAAAGCAGCCCTGCCTTAACTGCTCCTCCTGGGATTTAAAAAAATCCGTATAATTTAGAAGCCTTCCTACCAAGGGGCCAAGTATCATGGAGAAGAGCTTACAAATCCCATCTCCTGTCCCTGCCTTTTCTTCTATACCATCTTCTCCCCAACTCCACTCAAAAACATTGCTAAAGCATAAGCCTTTATATCTGGATTAAAAAAAAAAACCCACAGTAGCTGCCGGGCTGAGATGTGCACTCGTGCGACTGGTCTACCAAATGACAATAAAATAGGAACCATGTCAGTGTTCTGGTAGCAAGTGGAAGGAATAGGAGATATCTGAAGAACATGAGTCACTACAATGTGCTAAGTATACAAAAATCAAAGAGATGGGAGGCTTAATCCTCCTCTCAAAATATTAGCACAGGTGTCCTAAGTGTTATTTACACTCTGTGGTCTTGAGTAAAGTCATCCTGGTTCCCTTCTTAAGACAGAAACCTTGACAAAAGCCATGCCACTACAAGACAAGCCAAGCTTAGGCACAGAAGGACCGGCATTCAAGTACAAACTGTCAGCTTGACTCACTGGACTGTGAGGATCATTTTAGTTTGCAGGTCAAGACACTGCTGGCTGGAATCATTTTAGCCAATGTCTTCCCTGTAAACCAGCCCAGCTCAACCAGAAGTGTATATGCTACTCAGTAGCATATATATTCCCTGTCAAAGCCTCAGCATTTATTACTGCTGAGAAACTCAGTTACACATTTCTAACGCCCTTGGATTTTTTGGGTGAGGTGAGAGCAAGCTTGTCTTATCTGTTCTAGACATTAGAACGAATAATCATGCGGTAGTTTATTCTAAAGTATCAAATCAGTCTGTGTTCATTATCTTTTTTTCACAACAGAGAGACATGAGACAGATGTTTCTCCTCACAAAAGCTTGGTGCTCAGGAACAACTGGAAACAGCAGTTTACACATCCTCATCAGCCACCTCCAGCAGAAGAGTCTGAATACACATATCCCACTGTATGGGGAATGAATCCGAAAGCAAACAAACTTCAGAAGCTGGCGTCAAATCCCTTCTCCTCCAGTACAGCGCAGAAATCACTCAAGTGTCAGGGACATCTGTGTGCCTGCACTCTGAAATAGCAGGCTGATGCTCCGGGGTACTTGTGGGATGGGGGAAAATGCAGCTCAAGAACCTCATCCAAACCAGGAACATTAGGACTGCTCTTGGATTTGGCTTCTCCACAAGTGTCCCCATTTTGAAGATGTACTTTTTCAAAACAAACAT